AAGAAAGCATAGGAGAATATCATCAAGATTGCAAAGATTTCCAAACAGAACATGAGAAGCACTAGCCATAAAAGAGAAGATTGATAAATCGAACTTCATTGAAATTAAGAATGTCTCTTCATCAAAGACATCATTTAGAGAGTGAAAAGGCAAATCACAGATTAAGAAATCTGTGTTTCCATATATAATAATAAAGAACTCCTAAAAATCAATTTGAAATCAAATTTTTAGAAATGATGCAAAACTGGAACAGCACTTAAAAGTTATCCAAGGCTGGCCAAATGGTTCAGTTGGTTAAGATTGCGAGCTCTGAGCAACAGAGTTGCCGGTTCGATCCCCATATGGGCCAGTGAGTTGTACCCAAGCTGAGCTGCCACTGAGCTGCCAACAGTTGGGAGGATGGCTCAGTTGGTGAGAGCATGTGCTCCTAACAACAAGGTTGCCAGTTTGACTCCCGCAAGGGATGGTGGTCTACGCCCACCCACAACTAAGATGGAACACGGCACCTTGAGCTAAGTGGCCACAAGCTGCCAACCGGTGGCTGGATGGCGACTAGACTTGGAGCTGAGCTAGCTGCGCCCTCCACAACTAAGATTGAAGGACAACTTGGCTGTTCCCCTTCTCCAATTCCCCAACACTGTTCCCCTTCCCCAATTCCCCAATAAAATCTTAAAAAAAAAAGTGATCCAAGTGGTCAAAAAGCATACAAAAAGGTGCTCAATGTCATCATTCATTAGGGAAATTCAAATTAAAACAAAATATCACTCCACACCCACCAGAATGGGTAATTTAAAAACTGACAGACACCACCAATTACTGGAGGATGTGAAGCAACTGGAACATGGCTGGTGGGAGTATAATTTGGTACAACCACTTTGGAAACTGTTTGGTAGTATCTGCTAAGGCTGAACATATGCTCACCCTATGACTCTGTGACTGAACTTAGGCACATCCACAAGAGAAAATAAGTGCACATATCCACCCAAATACTTGCTGAAGAATGTTTATAACAGCTTTATTATCATAGCCCCAAACTGGAAACAATCCAAACATCCATCAACAGAAAAATGCATAAATTGTGGCATATTCACACAAAGTTATGGTCATAGTAATAAAGAACCAACTATTGCTACAAGCAACAAAGACATTGTATTGAGTGAAAAAAGCTAAACGCACATGTTCAAGAACTGGAAAATACAATCAATAGCAATAGAAGTCAGAACAGTGGTTTCCTTTGGGAGGTATTGACTGGAAATGGACCTGAGGATACTTCTCAGTTACTGGAAATGCTCTTTATCTTGATCCATGAATCACCTGGTGATTTCACAGGTGTATCCATATGGTACAATTTCATGGAGCTGCATACTTTATGTTATACCTCAATGAAGATGTTTTTAAAAAGATAATAAATATATTAAAGTGTTAATTAGTTTCAAAACTTGCTGGCTAAAGAGGTCTAACATATTGCAGAATTTATCAGATGAAGATAAATGTTAAAAAAAAATTAAATGGTGGAGCATGGAAAAAAAAAAGGAGTAGAATGGGACACCTAAACAGAGCTGGAGTAGGAGATGAAAATGTGAGATGGGGTTAGAAAATAGGTCACCTAAAACCCAGCATTAATGTCAGGGAGAAATGAGAAGTGAGGTTATCAACCCTGACCTGGAGATGATGTAGCTGGTGGGACTCCTGACTGTAGAGGTGAAGAGACCAGCTTTTAACTTGAAACTCAACTAAGAAGCTAATAATTCCTGAGCTGGGCAGGGATGCCATTAAAAACCAGGGTGATGACTGTGGTGATTGTAGCGACAATCAACATAACAACATATACCATTTATTGAGCACCTACAATGTGCCAGACCCTGTTGTCAGTGCTTCACTAGTACCATCTCATTTAATCCTCACAATCACTCTCTAGAAGTTACTATGATTATCCCAGTGTTACAGAAGGAGAAACTCAAGAAATGGAGTAACTTAACTGGAGCCTCCAAGGATAGAGGAAAGAGACCCGGGGGAGGCAGTGAGGAAACCCAATGCATTAAAGAAATTCAGATGACTTCACAGACATTTAGACAGGTCTGAGGAGCAGGCAAATTACTTGCACAATGTAAATTCTGCAGAATAAACCAGCTCATTGTATACCCAGCAGTGTATGGGCTGGAATTCGTGGGGGAGGACAAAAATTCAGTATGTTTTACATGTTTTCGGGTATATAAACAACACACAATACCCAAAATAAATTTACCGGGTACAAGTGCAAAGTGGTACTTTTCGTGAAGAAGAAAAATAAAAGTTTCTTGCACTGGACTTGGTTTGAAAGAAGTTACTGGAGTTAATATTCAAAATTTTTACATATATATATATATATATATATATATATATATATATATATATANAGATTCATCCAAGTTGTTCCAAGTGGGGTGTGTTTTTATTCACTGCTTTATCTTCAGCACCCAGAACACTGCCTGGTGGCTGTAGGCTTTCAATACATATTTGTTGGATCAATGAATGAATCCCCTCAACAAACAGATTCAACTCGGTAATGTACCAACAAGAAATGGATATTTTACTGCAGATCTCCTGGAAGATGAGGAAAACAGTTCACACATGAAATCCAATGACAGTACCCAAAATGCCCACGAAGGTTCCTCTTTCCTGCCACCCCCAGTCTCCCCTCTCTCTCTTCCTCTGTTGGCCCCTCAACACCTCCTCTATTATCCCGGCATTTCCATTTCACCCTCAGCTTATAGATTCCACTGAACAAAACCTGAACTCTGGAGATGGCAGAATGAAGACCATCTACTCTTACTCAGAATCCCCTTTGGGGATCTCAGCACCTCCAGCCTTTGCAGGATGCACTGGGAGGAAATGTCAACTATGGTGGCCTAAGAAAAGTGTGACTGACGTCTGCATTCAGGTGACAGGGATGGAAAAGAGTTGTGACAAATGTGGCAGTCACCTAACTCATTGTTCTATTTTAAATATTGGAGAAGAGTGTGGAATTTAAAAAATGCTTCCCCACCTCAATTCTACTCAATTCCAATTGCCAAACAGTACCCAGACCTAATCAGAAAAGAGGGTGCAGTTCTGTACAGAAGAAAAATATGTCTGTGGTTTGTTTACCTTGTCTAAGATGAGAGGTGAAATACCTGACTGATGAAGAAACTTGGCACACCAAATCTTTTTTTTCTCAGTTTCAAAAACACCAAAGGTCAATCGATGCCAGGATATCCGANGCCAAAGGGACTTCAGATCTCCTATAGTCCAATTCTGTTACTTTCCAAATAAGAAAATGGGGCTCAGTGGACATTAGTGACTTATATTATGATGAGGTTACTAGTACTTAATGGCTGAACTAAGATTAAATGGCAGGGTAATGAAGCCTTGTCTCCTCATTTAGCACACCACGTTACAGCATTACTCAGATTTAACTATTCTTTGTGTAAACTCTACTACTTACTTACAATGTTATGATTTAAATACTTATCAAGTACTTTCACATACTGTCTCATTTTGATTTAAATTTTCAACCATCTTGTGCAGTAGGTAGGGCAAGATATTTTTGACATTTTACAGATAAACATGAATCAGTCAATATGTGTGTGTTTCAGCAACTAAATGCTTTAAATTTTTTGGTTATCGAAGTGGTAGAATGTTCTTGGGGGTCTTTTAAAATGATCAATCTCAAAGCCACTTAAAAGTAATTTGTCTAATTTGTATTACTATTTAGAAACAAACTTCAGAAATGTTTGATACCAATGATATTGGGCTTTTATAATATATCTTTTGTTTGACTAGAACTTTAAATATATAATTATTTAAATTATATTGACACAAAATGAATTTGTATGTTTTAGAATTTAATGTTTCATACTTTCCCTTTTGAAGCTTAAGCATTTATGTGTGGTGTCATTAATATATGAATTGGATGATCAAAAGTTTGGTAGTCTCTGAAGTTTTCTAAAAATCTGAGTTTTGTTTAATGTCTTTAGTTATCCTAGTTTTAGTAGCTGTGATAAGCCTCTGAAGTTGTATAGTTTGGAAGCAATGTTATATATATAAATATTGCTTCTGTATGCTCAACAGAGGGAACCAATCCAATTTTGTCAAACTGGGAATTAAAGCAACTCATTTGGCATACTTTCTACTTAATATAGGAAAGTCTTTTTATCTTATTGGTATTCTCTTTTCCTGTGCTTTATCTCTGGTTTAGCATTTGTTTTTTCTTCTGATAGTCTTAGCTATCTTACCACACTAGAAGGACTTTTAGTATAAAAGGAAAAAGCCAGAAAATACAACTTTAGCAACAAATCCTAATAACCTGAAAAAAGGTTGTTTAGAGTGTGTGTCATGCAGCCTTAGGCTACAGATGCTATCAGAAGGCAGGCAGGACCTTTCACAGCCCCTCATTCCGCTAGGTAAGTGGGATGCTTTTGCAGCACACCCTCTTCCCAGCTTTTCCTCATCCTGATCCCTGAATGACATTTTTCCCTTTGGTTTGTTGGTAAAACTAAATCTAAACGTAGCCGATGACCTTTAAGAATGATGAAATTTAATTCATGGATAAAACGACCCACAGAATCTTTCCTTTCCCAGCAACCCTGAGATCTTCTGGGAAAGGTTCCCTGAGGCTTACAGGAAATTACCCTTTCTTCTGAATATTGCAAAGTTTGCTTTGCTTCATGTCTGAGGCTCTTCTGATTCTGGCACAATCCCATTGGTCTGATGGGGAGTTCAGACTCCTTTCTCTCATGAGCTGTGGGTCTTGTGGAGCAATGTATGTGAAAAGGATTCGAAAATGAATTGCTGTGTGATTTTGCAGTAACATTATAGTGGTTCTGTACAGGTTCTGGTCCTGTATTCNGTGTGCCCTTAGCAACCCCTGGGGAAACCTCAGACAGTATAGGGCTTGCCCTGCAGGCAGAGCTGACCCAGAGTTGCTTACTGTCAAAACGGAACATCTGGCTTCTCTAGCTTCCTTCCATCCCTTCAGCGTTTCCTCTCTCTCTAAACGGTACCAAAATCCATGCAGTTAATTACTCAATATTATCCTGGTCTCCCTCTCCCTCACAATTCTGTCTAGTCTTTTAGAACGATCCACTATTGTCAACCTCTATCATCACCCTTCTACCCAGGCCACCATTCCCTTCCAAGTACTGCAATATTTAAGCATCATTCTGCCATTAGCACCCCGCGCCCCCTTCTCCAGGCAGCAGCTGAGTGATCGTTATAAAAACCCCTGCTCAAAGCCCTTTCATGGTTCATAACACCTACAGGAATCAAGACCAACCTCCTTACCACAGCCAAGGAGGCCCTGCAAAATTTAAGACCTGCCACTTCTCCAGCTTCATCTGCTACATCACTCTAGGCCGCAACCAAAACGCTCTTTTCAGGGCCTGTTTCTTAGGGTCTCTGAGCTCTTATCTGGGAAACGGTTTTTCTCTCATAAGTAATAAAAGCTACACCTACTGCACCCTTGCTTACATGCGTTATCATGCATGAGCCTACAACCTGTCATCTTCGTTTTGCAGATGGACAAATTGAGGATGGGCACCTTACCCATGGTCACACGGCTAGCGAGCGGAAGAGCCGAAACTCGAGGCTCCAGAGGCTACCGGCTTAACCACAAAGTCCTTAGCCAGCCCGCACAGACCTCCACTGCCGCAGAGATAACTCTTAGCGGTGAACAGCCCCTGGCTGCAAGGGGGCGAGGACCGGAGGGGCTTACGGAGGAACGAAGCTTCTGATTGGCCGCCTCCGGCGACGGCGGGCGAGGAAGAGCGAGGGCGTGGGGGCGTCGCAGAGAAATGACGCAATGCAGTGCCTCCTTAAAGGCACCGGCCCCTCGCGCCGCGGATGGCGCAGGCGCATTCCGGGGACTGCCGCTTGTTCATCGAGTGCTCTGAGCCGGGCCGAGCGGGTGCGCGCGCGCGCGCGGGCTGTGCAGACGGGGCGCGCGCCGGTCGTGGACAGCTCCAGGGGTCCTGCCGGGCAGTGTCCGGAGCGGGACCGGCCCGCTGACTAGCGGGCGCCGCGATGGCCGAGAGCAGCGCCGTGTCCGACCCTCAGCACGCCGCGCGCTTGCTGCGAGCGCTCAGCTCTTTCCGCGAAGAGTCCCGCTTTTGCGACGCGCACCTGGTCCTCGACGGTGAGGAGATCCCTGTGCAGAAGAACATCCTGGCGGCGGCCAGTCCGTACATCAGGTGAGGAGGGGGCCGGGCGGGGCCGCGCTGCCCGGAGCCCAGGGGCGGGGCGGGCCGGGCGTGGCACCGGAGTCTCTGTCCCCACCCCTCAGCCGCTGGGGTCCCCNAAGAACTCGTAAGGGGACAAGAGGAAAAGCAGGGAGAACAGCTAGGAGGTTAGTACAAGAGTCCAGGTGGACTTAATTGGTGGCTAGCCCAGGGTCGAACCAGTGGAGGTTGTGAGATGAGGCTGGATTCAGGAAACAGTCTTCAGGAAGAGCTGCAGGGTTTGCTGGTGAATTGGATGGAGGGTGTGAGAGACAGAGGTCAACAATGGCCCTACGTTTCTGTCTTTGGGTAAATGAAGATGCTGCCATTTATTTGGGGGGTTATTAGGTTTAAGGGGTAAAGTCAGAAGTTTGTTTCTGACATGTTAAGCTGCTAGTATCTATTAGATATTCAACTGAAGATGTCAAGTATGCTGTTGGCTATACCAGCTCGGAGTTCGGTGGGGAATTATGAAAAACAACATCTGAACTAATCCCTGTGGATAGAAAACTCTCAGTTCTCCCTACCCATTAACACTTATTCATTCAGCAAATATTTATTGAGCACCTATTGTGTCAGGCACTGTGCTGAGTGCTAGGGAGTACAGCATGGATTTGGACAGAAGCAGTCACTACCTCCATGACAGCTTAGTTAGTTCACGTGTTTCTGAGGCTCTTCTCTGAATATTGCATAAACATATAGAAGCAACTCTCAAGAGTTATAAACACTGAGATGCTCTCTGACTCAGCAATTTGGAAGAGCTTAGATTGTCGGAAAGAAAGGAACTATATATAGACTTGGACAAATGACAGACTTACCCAATAGAATAATTGAAGACTGCCTCAAAATGAATCAGAAGAGACTGTCTCAACCAACTTAATGTTTACAAAGAGTCAACAACTTGGTGTAATGGAAAAGCTTACAGGGCTGGAAGGCAGAACCTCTGAGCCTGTCTGTTCTGCCCAACGAGGTCACATGTATGACCTTAACGGAGCCATTTGCTCATCTTTAGTTTTCTCTTCCATAAAATGAACCCATTTGATTTGATGATTTCTAAAGAGCTTTCAAACTATTAATTTTTTTCTTTGTATTAGTTATTTTACTCGACTCTCATTCCATCCTCTTACATTTATTAAAAAATACAACCCCAAACCTCAAGATGATTCTTCTTTGATGGATCATTTTTCAACCAAA